GCTCATCATCATCATCATCATCTTCATCCAGTTCAGTCAAACTACCTCAGGGGTCTTCCTACAGGGGCATGGATGGTGAAATCATATTTTTTTCTATTATATATGATGCTACAAAATGGGTATTATACTGTATATGCTATTCCATAGCTCATATTCTTTACTTAAACATATTTCATAACTATTTCCTACAAGTCAATAAATATTTTCCCAAAGCATAATTTTTCTAGCATGTGTATTATTCCTTTGCAGGATGTGACATAATTTATTTAACCCCCTGTCATTAGAAATTCTATTTGTTTCCAATATTTCCTTGCCATAAAAAATGTTTACAAATATTTTTGTGTGTAGATTTTTGTACATAGCCGTTCTTGTAAATTTCTATATATATGGAATTGCTGAGTAAAGGACACACTCTTTTTAAAAATTTTGGTACATTCTGAAAAAGTGTGATTTTGGGAATGTTCACCTTCTCCAGCAGTTTCCCATCCCTCTCTACTTCTTTACCATTTCTGTGTTGACCTTATATCCTGGCACATGATTTGGGCTCCTTTAGAAGCTGGTGACATGTTGTGTTCATCTCCACTCTGCTGAACACCTACTTCTGTAACTTCCTCAAAATAAGCATTTGTGGGGTCATAATGACTATGTGTCATTCATCTGGCATACTAAAAAAAAAATCTGTATTGAAAGTTAGACAAACCTACATGTGTCAAATTAATTAATTGCAGCTCTTCGTGAAGCCCAGTACCATGCCAGAAAGACTCTGTGGTTTCTCATAGACAAAATTTCACCCCCAATTAATTTTCTCATTTTTCTTTATAGTTTAATGTACTTTTCTTCAGATAAAATTAATTAACAATAGCATATAGAATTATGTTTTGGGATGTGTACTCAGGATTAATCAGTAATAGTTTTAGACATGTTTGTTCGCCTGAAATACATTGATCTTGTATCCATCTATCAGCTTGGAGGCCTGTGCATCTAAATTTAATACCAATTTATTTCTTTGTACTGGAATTCCTGTCTCTTGTTTATTTCTTGGCCAGGTTAAAGGATCTCAGATGATATTTGGGAATACAATTAGACAAGTGTTCCAGGCACCAGGTTACTAAAATGCATGGGTCTTTGGCATTATACCAAGAAAATAAGTCCTCTCATTTGGTGTGTACACAATGTCCTGAACATCTATTATGATTAATTAACTTTTCCATGTTGATGTAGGAAGTTTTATTAGCTCTCAGAAAACTAGCTCCAACTAGCTTGTCGTCTGATCACATACAGAGAACAAGTCAAGTGAAAATGGAAAAAGCCAAGCAACTAATCCTTTAAGAGGCAATAATACCATATTTCCCCATGTATAAGATGCACCCTTTTTTGAAAAATTTGGGGTAAAAAAAATGGGTGCATCTTATACAGTGGTTATATGAGTGCAAAAACAAGCGTGAAAAAAGGGGGAAATGCAAGTAAAAAAAATCTACAACCACTGTATAAGACTCACCCAGTTTTTTACCCCAAATTTTTCGAAAAAGGGTGCGTCTTATACATGGAGAAATATGGTGATTTTCTTAAAAGGCATCTCAATGTAGTTAATAAATTGTTACCTCTCTTCCTGAAAGAGATGTTATTCTATATGGGAACCATAAATATATATTTGAATATTAACTTTTAATATGCTATGTTTGCTAATGTTTGTTCATATGTTGCAATCTCTGCTGCACATAACCCTTCTTTGAGCTCTTTATGGAGGGTCTGGCTTAGGAGTTGTTCACTTTTAGTCATGCCCTTGGGCTAGAGCAGAACCTAACAGCATGTTTCTTCACTCCGTTAAAAACCTTGATACCTATGCAATGGTGCTTGATGCTAGTGGACTGAGTTGGAGCTTCATAAAGATAGACACTCCAGTTTTCAAGCACCTACTATGTGCCAGTCCTTTACCTTTGCCATTTAATTCTCATGACCATCCTCCAAACTATGTGACAGGTGGTAAAACAAGTTTAAAATGGCTGAGTCTCTCACTTGTGGTCAAATAGCTAGTAGGTGGTGGTTAGGCTATTCAAACCCAGCTCCCTTGAACTTCAGAGCTATGTTCTTTCCACTTAGGACAGCTCTGAATCTTTTCATGCATCTGTTTATGCTATTGGTATGTGAAACACAATGGAAGAAGTCTCAGGTAAAGCAGGGAATTCAGAGCTCATCTTGCACAGTCATTTCACACTATGCTTCTGGAAAAAAATCCTCACCAAGAAATGTCAGCCTTTGACAGCACAAACAATTCTCCCTTTCTTAAACCAACTTTGAAGAAGGAGCAGGACATGAATGTGGAGAAACTTTGCTTTTCATTTCACACAGGTACTTTTTTTTTTTCAGTATGCCTGGGATATAACGTATGGAAAACTGAGAAGTTACAAGGAAATTAAAAATAGCATAAACACTAATGCTACTCGCATACATGAGCCCCATCAACACACATGGAAAACACATTTGTCTTGTGTGGCACAGTTAATGGTAACAAGGACAATGAATAAATACGGTCTGTTTCTAAATTCACTCTAAAATCCACCCATGGTTCATTAGGAATGTTGGAAATGGTGATGTGGCTTCATACATTGAACAATGGCAAAAACACATGGGCATTCAGAAAAAGAAATATTTCTTTAGCCACTTACTTTTGTTACAATACTGAGTAAATAGCTCATTTTTATATATTTTTAAATAGTTTGGTGAAACATCACAAAGACTATTTTTAAGTTAAATATTTAGTATCAGTCAAATTCTTTGTAACTACTGGTTCTCACTTGCCTGTCCCTAGCAAGAGCTATTTCAGGTACAGTGTTTCCTAAGGAAATTAGGATGGGCTAGCATATTCCAAGCTTCCCCAAGATAATAGTGCTCACTTTGTCTTCAGCACAGGGCTAAGCACTTTCATTGTCACACAATACCCCTCTGAGGTAGGTAAAATTATTGCATCCGATATTCAGATGAGGAAACTGACACTCGAAGGAGATTAAATAACTTGCCCACTAACATGGTAGGGGAAATAGTGGAGTCAGGGCTCAAACCCTGGTAGTTTGGTGCCAGCATCTGGGAACTTAAATGCCAGGCTATCTAACTCAGAGTCAGCCAGGTTACTGGTTGGGAAGTTAATTTTTCAATGAATACTGCTCTGTGTTCAAAGTTATAGAAAGGGCTCCAACTAAAGCTTTATAAGATCACCATAACCTTCAGCAATATGCTGGTAGCATAACAGACCAAAGAAAGAAAAGGCAGGAAACTGCTTAGGATTCAGGCCTAAGGATCTGTGAAACGCCTAAGGACCTATGGGGATTGAGAGGGCTCACAGAACATCATTTCTTTCAGAGAGCCAAGGGATAAGATGAAAAAAAACCAAAAACCTCTGAGTGGAAAATAACTTTAGAGTTCATGAAAGGTTCACATTGTTAGAGAGGATGGCTGTTGCTTACCATTTTGCCTTTTGAGTTCATGCCTAGGGTTTTAAATGATTCTTGACTTTGGCTTCTGGCATATGCGGAAGCAAGCAGCAAATGCTCATTTTACCTCCATCATAGGTCTTTCCCACACACCCTGCTGCCATGTGTGGGCACACCCACATCGAGTTCTAGTGCTCTTCCCTTTAAAAACACGTAGGGTTTCACAATTCCTTGGCCTTGCTTGGACCATCCCCTGGGTGGAGCTGTTTGCTTCTCAAAGCAAAATGGCGTCTATCTTGGAGAAGCTCATCTAAAACAGGCAAAGCTCCTTTATTTACAAGCTAATCATTAAGTCCATAATTGGATCAGGTCTATCTGCCAGTCACCCTGAGATATTTATGGCATGTGCTTTCTCCAAGCCTGCCCCTTTCCATTGTGTAGATCAGAGGGAAAGTAAAGGAAGAGAGAGTTTGTGTTGTGGAGTATGGCTTAGAGGTGATTCACCATGGATGTATTTCTGCACTGGGTAGGACAGAATATTTGCAAAATTAAAAAATAAAAATAAAAGAAGGAAGAAAAGAGTAGCATTTTGTGCTGGGAATCAGTACAGAAGGTGCAGCCAACCCTTTCTGTCTGGCTTTTGTTTCTATGTATGTTCAGGCTAATTTAAGAATTCTCTGGATTATGTATTATGGTGGTTTTACTTCATTCTGTTTCAATTTGGGGTTTATTTGTTTCCGTTTGTGCTTATTTTGTTTTATTGTTTTTACGTAGAGAAACCACATGTGTCTGTGTTAGCACAAGAAAAAACTGAGAAACAGTGATGTAGATCTTACCGGGCTGTCAAGAAACATGACCCTGGATGATACATATAACTTTTCCATTTGCAAAAGGTTTTAGGCCATATTAGTGATACCCAAACATGGCTTCCCATCAGAATAACATAGGCAGTGTTTTAAAATGAGATGCCTGTTATAAAGCATGGTGGAACTTCTTTGGATGATGTAATTGTTCTATATTTTGATTATGATAGCTACATGACTGTACAAGTTTGTCAAAACCTAAAAACTATATACTAAAAATGGTGAACTTTATGTAAAGTAATTTAAAATTTAAAAATAATTTTAAAATCTCTTGAATATTAATGCATTGAAAAAAATACCTGGGTCCCACCTGAAACCAACTACTTATAAAATGGTATCTAGTCTCTTAATCATCTCTGTGCTTCTGAATCTAATGGGAAACAACTCAAACATTCTAAGCTGTCATGATCCCAGGTTTGGGTGTTGGTCAGCTGTGGACATGAAGTCAAGAGTAACCTGGGTGGCAGAGACCAGTGTGGATGCCGAGAGCCACAGCATGTCTAGTCAGGCCACTTAAATCACATGGGGAGTGGAGGAAAAATATGTGGCTAAGCTCGGAGCTTAATATTCAATGAGAGCATCCTTTATGACCAATGAGCAGAAAATGTGGGAGTAGCCAAGTGCTGATCACGTGTTAGAAACCAGTGTACAGATAGAGGATGTTGAGCTATGAACTGTGTATTAATGAAAGGTATTGATTTTGTCTTTAGCATTAAAAAGAAAGAAGTGATGCTGTGGGATGACTCTGACACCAATCTCATGAAAGCATGTAAGTGTCCAGCAGAAACAGGCTCACTGATTTGAGCTATGCGGGCTTTCGGAGAGAAGAGTCAGGGCTGGCTGACAAATATTTTGGGCCCAGCATCAATCTCTGAGAGGATTCCATCCAGCATTAAAAAAGATATATGAGACCCTCAGAATTAAAGTTGTTTATGGACAGCATTCACAATAGACTGAATTCCTAATAGGGAAATGGGATGTTGAAATATTAGCTTTGGTTAAAGTTCGTGGAAGCATGTAGTAGGTATACTTTGGGGTGTGTCTTAGGAACATCCCCACCAAAGGACCCTTCCAAAGCTGAGGGTTTAGGTGAGTGCATTCCTACAGTGTAGCCACCAACCCTGGCTACAGCTGGTAGAACCACGGCAGGCATTAATGTCAACTTGATTGGGAATACTAAATACAATAACACCAAGATGGCTCTCTGGGGGAACTAAGATGCAAAGTCACAGAGAAAGTGGGTTGCAGTTGTGCCATGGGAAGCCAAATCTGGGGGCAAACTAGAATTAGAGGGAAGCAGTAACCATAAGTAGTAACAACAGCACCAATAACAATAACAGTAGCAGCTAACACTTATGAAATGTGCATGTGTGCTAAGCACCAGGCTAATCCTATCAGATGGGTAATATCACTATCTTGATTGGATGTGTAAGGTCACACAAATAATGGTGACAGAGTTGGGAGGCAACCCAGGTAAGGTGATTGATTCTCAAGCATCATTCTGCCTCCTAGGAAGCCCAGGAGACAGCTGCAGCGAAGAGAACAGAAAGGATGCACAGGAGAAGCAGAACCAAGAGACACAGGGGTGCAAGGAGAAGACACAGAGCAGTGGCCCCTTTCCTGAGACTTTTTGGGGTCTCAACTCCAAGTCTGCGCGTGACCTTGCTGTGCTAAAGGGGTGGTCTATGTCTTAAGCAATCCTCTGTCTCCTTCTCTGCCTTTATGAAGAGCTAGCTTCTTCATAAAAGATCTCTGTTCCTTGAAATCAATAAATGCTAAACTAGAATGAAGAGTATGCAAGGGGAGGGTGAGGTTGAGGGAGCATTTCTTATGTAGAGGTCAGGGCAGAGAGAATTACCTCAACTCTCTCTGGTTGTGATACTATTTTTTTAACCTTCTCAGGTTGAGGAAGATGAGCACCTGCAGGTCATTATGGGAACATTTTATCAAGGGAGACTCCACAGGAGGATACTAAACTGTCAGGTAAGCTTGGAATTGTTCAGCCATACACTTAGCTAAGTTACAGCTGTTGAGCCCAGCTTCTGGTATGTTCTCTTCTAGGACCTTTGGCTCAATTTCTTTAATGGAATTATTTGTCCGTTTTTCAAAGGTTTTACCTTCCTAGGTCCCTTGCCTCACTCATCACCTTTCTCTGGTGCAAGGCACCATTGATAATTTCTCTTTAAGAATCAAAAGTTGGAATCGTAAACATTGTGCTGGAATCTTTGGCAGTCCTCTGTGAGGAAGTTCTCCTATCATGGAAACAAAATGAGCTGGCATTCTCCCTCAGTCCCTCAGGTTTGCCAGGCAGGATCAGACTGAGGAATCATCCAGAGCCCAGGGGCAGTCACACCAGGAGACAGCGTTTCTCTTTGAAAGGCTCTGAGGGAGGTCAGCTGGACAAACACAGAGGTGCTGAGAAGGGGAGGCTGCTCAAACTACATGGCAAGCTGGCCACGGTGCAAATTTCAGAGCTGTGGGCTCATGGGGCTCAGTCCTTAGTTTTCAGTGTCTGGAGAGGTGGCCCTGGTCTTTTCATTTATACTGAAACACTCCAGCAAGAGAAAAATCCACTCTGGCTCACCTGTTAATTTATTCTGCTTACTTGTGCCTTCCCAAAGGGCTTTATTAATACTGTATGACTTTAGCTCTTTGATCCCATAAAGGAAGATTCAGGAACCAACAACCTTTCCCTCTAATCTTACCTCAGTGTTCCTTCTGAAGTGAGTCACTAAAGACTTCCTGTTTGAGGCTGAAAAATATTTAAGCAAGCAAGCAGCTCCAGCCAGTTTAATAGTGCATTGGAGCTGTTGCTAGGCAGGACATTTTAATACGCAAGCATCAGCCTGGGTTGCCAGGTTGGCACAAATGCACAGGTTACCTCACCTGTCCTCTTAGTTAATCTTGTTGTTTTAATGGATGCAATTTCCCCACTGTGGAGACTCGATGTTCTTGGCACCTGGACAGTGCCCTAGGGCTTGACTCAGAGGTGTACAAGAACTTGTTGAGAACCCGTTTGTTGCCAGTGGGGATTGCAGGTGCTCCCAAACCAGTGAGTGATCCCAGGTTCACAGGAATGTGTGCACTAGTGAACCATGAAAGACCTGCTCCAGGAAAGCAGCCTTGAACAAAAGGGCGGGACTTAGGGGATTCTTTTGGTGCTCAGAACATACTTCACATTCTTGATGGAATCCTGGCTTTCTTTTCCTTTCCCAAGGAAAGCATACACTTTTACATCTGTGTGGCGCCCTGGATGTGGCATCCTAGCTAAAGCATTACTACATTCCTGTCCATGGACAAAAGCTTTCTATGTAACGGGAACTTGCTTCATAAAAACACTTACAGAACATCTAGTCTAAGTAGTGCATTATGTGAGAAGGCTAGAGAGCTAGATTTAGGGCACCCCTCGATCATGTAGATGGAGCAAACAAATCCCCATAGCCTCAAAGCGTGTTTATTAATTTTCCTGCTTCCTGGGTGGGTAATCTGTATCCTTAAAGAGTGGTGGGCCTCATCTGGCAATTCCACACTGCCTGGCAGCCAGGGATTTGCCACTATCTCTTCCTAGAAGCGGTCTACCAAGTCAGGAAGAATGCTAATAAAGCTTCATTTTCTGATTTAGGGAGCAAAACAAGAATAAAAAGGTTTGAAGCATATTTTTGAATTGTGTTGAAAAAGTTGGGTCATTTGTAAAACTTTGAAAGGAGATTATGCTACACACACACACACACACACACACACACACACACACACACACACAAAGGATTAAGAGAGGCAGAGTTCTTTTTCGTTAACTAGTTGAGGGTTTTATTCCTTGAGAGGTGGGTTAGAATTTTAGCTCTGTCTCTTTCTAATTGAAAGACTACCCACTCCCCCCGTCACCACCACCACCACCTTGTAGTTTACTCAAGTTCAAAAAAAACTCCTTCACAGGATTGGTGTGCAATCTACATGAGAACACATTTGTAAACTGGCCAGCCCAGCCTAGCGCATAATAGGCCTAAATAGGGCATACAGATTCCTGTCTAGTCTTTTGAGCTAGACATTTTTAGCCATTCTTCCAAAGAAGGCATTGCAGAATCAGTTTCTGGATTTCCTTTTTATAAGGGCCACTTCAAACCGTAAGAGAGTAAGAGAGGGTCAAGAAAAGACCTTCCAATTCTTTACATTAAGAATACTTGAAATAAACTCAAAATAATAAAACCTTTTTCATTGATTTTGCCCATTATGGGCTCTTGTATCAAAGCTATGGGAACTATATCAGGATACATACACATGCGAGAAGTTCTGGAATTTGTTCCACACAACATCTTTGAGGGAGGAATTTGAGGGAAGCCTGTATGAATAGCCATGGTCATGGACTCATGAAGTCACTGAACAAGAATCGTGGTCATTCTGGGCCACTCCCAAGTTGAGGAGACATCATTCCTGTCATATTGGGGGTAACAGCCATTTGACTAGAGTAAAAATGATGAATATATTCACACATATGGAAATGTTCACTGCTGTTAAAACCTTTGGGTTTACCTATTTTTGTTTTATTCTTTTTAGATTTTTTTGAATAAAAGCATCTCTCCTCTGTGTTCCCTGGGCTATCTGTGCATGCTCTCAAAGTAGCATGATGTACTCAGGACCCATCTTGTTCTCATGAGTCTCCCCACTAGACAGCTGATCAACAACACGGGGTTCAACTCTCAGTCACTTCTGTTATTAGATGTATAACTTTGAGCATATTTTTACTCACCTTAGCCTCCATTTTTTTCTTCACCTGTGAAATGGTGATAACAACAGTATCCATTCTCTGTTGCAGGAGTGTGTGTGTGTGTGTGTGTGTGTGTGTGTGTGTGTGTGAAGATTGAATAAAACTAGCGAGTTTAGCATGGTGTTTGTCATATGGAAAGAGTTCTATAATTATTATTGTTATTATAATTGTGGTGCCAGTGTTTAGCATGGCTCTTGACTCCCATGAGACTCAAAAAGTTTTAAAAATGGATTTATTGTAACTAAACCACAGTCCTGCTTCTTTAGCTGTATGCTTCTTCTGTGCTTTAACCTGCAGGGTTGAATGTGGCTGGAGAACAATAGCTGTGTTGGCTGGCTTCACTTTAATTTCTTGACTGTTAATCTCAAGTGGGCACTTAATCCTGGGCACTAATCATACTGTGTTTCTCTAATCCAGTCATCCTCTCCCTCCCTAGGTCGGTTGTTTGTACTTTCTTCTCTAGCCTGAAACCTCCCCCATTCTCACTTGCATCTAATAATCATGCTTCTATTCCAATGGGGGGGGGGGTTGGAGACACAATCAGAAGAGATGGCTCCCATCATTCTGACTTCTTCTCGCCTACCTGTTTAGAAGTCTGTATTTTATATTCTCTCCTGTAACCATGGATGGACTGCTGTGCTCTTGGCTGAAACCACCCCTTCCACTCAAGCGTTATAATCCATCCCCTCTCACCCATTCAAGCACATTGCTCCAATATTTTCCTCTCTCTCTGCATATCTTTCTACTTACTATTTCCACTAGGATGCAAATATTTTCCCCCTCACCTTTAAAGACTTTATTTTGACCTTCTTTTTTCCTTCAATTATAGCCCCATATCTCTCCTTCCCTTTAGTGTGAAGCTCCTTGAAAGAATTGACGGTATCAGTTGTCTCTAACTTCTCTGCTCCCATTCTCTCTTGAACCCATTTCAATCAGGTGCAGTCCCTGCCACTCCACTGCAGCTGCTCTTGTCAAGTCACTGGTGATGTATGCACTGCCTATTCCAATGGTCAGTTCTCAGTCCTCATCTTCCTCTTCCTGCCAGGATGACACACATATCTGTTTTTTTCATTTATTTATCTTTAGCTGTTTCTCCTCAGCCACCTTTGCTTATTCCTCAACCTCTAAATGTTAGAGAGCCTTAGAATTCAGACTATGCATCTCTTTTTTTTCACTATCTGCACTCACCCCTATCTTCTTCCTACTCGATGCTGGGAACCTTCCGAGACAATGTCAACTTCATCCGGTCGAACGTTAAAAATGCCCCACCCCATGCTTGTTTAATCAGAATTTGTCTTCTAACTAGATCCCCAGTGATCCATTTGCACATTATTTATGATCACGCTAAGTGATCCTATTCAATTTCATGGATTTACATGTCATTTATTTGCTGAGTTGACTCCCAAATTTATATTTCTAGCCAAGAATCTCCAGTGAAATACAAAGTCATTCATTCATCCAACCACCTGTCAACTTTCCCACATGGATGTTTTATAGTCATTGCCATCTTATTGTGTCCAAAACTGAGCTCCAGATATTCCAGCTAAACCTGCTTCTCCAGTGTTCTTTCTGCTCATAAATAGCAACTCCATTCTTCCATTGCTTAAGTTACAACCCTTGGAGTCATCTTTGCTTCTTTCCCATATCTGGTCTGTCAACAATCATGTCAGGTCTACATTTGAATGTAGTTAGGATTTAATTGTTCTCATCACCCTGCTATCTTGGACCAATTCTGCTCTACTTCTTCCTCAAGCCTATTCTGAAAATGACAGAGAGAATAAATTTTGATAGATCACGACACTCCTCTATTCAAAGCCTTCCAGCATTACCATCTTACTTAAGGTAGGGCTCACAAGACCCCACATAATCTGTTTCCTCTGTTACTTCTCTAATCTTTCTGCTATTTATCTCCTTTTTTTATACTCCAAGCTCATTGCCTTTCTTTCTGTTCCTCAAACTCAGAGTGCATGTTCCTGCCTTAGGGCCTTTCTGTTCTCTCTGCCTGAATGCATTTCCTCCAGATATCTGTATGGTTCCCTCCCTCCATCCCTCAGGTCTCTACTCAAAAGTCACCTTCTCATGAGGCCTTACCTGGCCTTGCTACCTAAAATCTCAGCCTCAACCTCCTCCCACCATTTCATACCCTGTTTTCCTTATTTATTAATTCATTTATTATCAAATCTAATACTTTCTCCTTTCTGTCTTTCTCTCTGTATCAATC